TCAGACTCACTAAGTTGACGAAATCGTACAGGTCTCCGTACTCTAGGCATCGTAACCGATCGTAAAGGATGTCAAGAACCAAAATCCGCCAACGTTGATTCTTTACTGCGGATGAAATATTCATTTTTAGAGCATTAGTGAATTAAACAAAAAGCAGTATAAAAACCGGAATGTCCAACTGATAAGGCTGAAAATTTTTTCACTTGTTATTTACGGTAAGATAAATACATTCACCAGCTTTTATTAAAATAAAACCATTTAAACTGGGTGTTCGGATTTATATGTCACTTAGTATACAAAACTGACACTGTTCCTTTTGTAATTTGATTCTGAAATACTTTAATACAGGAAATAGACATTCTATTTTTATTATACAATACAGCATTCCGTGGACACATTAGATTGAAATCGGGTACAACATCTTTTTAACACAAAACTCATCACCCCACCTCTCAGCATATGAAATATGCAGGCTGTAAGACTTTGGTGTCTTTTTAAAATACTCAATAGCTCAACAACTAATGATCAGAACCAATTATATATGTATATCAAACTTCTATAATAAATATAATAAATATAATAAGTAGAGTAGGAAATTCCATTTTAGAAAATCAACATTTATACCTGAACGGGACCTGTTAGCAAGCTGAAATTCTGGGTAATGACATTGATCCATCCCCACCGGTGCTGATCTCTAAGCCGGGGCCAGAATGTTTGCTTGTTGCATACCCACGTATTCCCTCGCTAGAGTCCATGTGGCATACCCCCTTTCCCCTGTATTCCCCTATAGCATCACGGTACCCATGAGTACCCAGGCCTTAGACCTTCGTGTTCGTTTAAGTATAAAAAAATCAGCTGTTATTCTACCGTAATGGATACTCGTGACAAAGACAGTACGGGTCCAATTCAGTATTTAGCCGTTTTGAGGGTCGCACGCTCCGTCGCTCTAGGATCGCTACTCGAGGTGCATAAGGAAGCGTTTTATCAATAAAATATCTATGACTATTGCATGTAACAAATGCGTATTATTACTGGAATCAGAAGCTTCTCATAATTCTAATACCATAAATTAAACATTTACATCCCTACCCAGGGAGTTAAGGAGTAGCGAACAGACCGACGGAAATGAGTGGCATGATGTATACGTCATGTCATAAGAAAAATTATTTTCAAAAACGCCAGTGGCGTGGGTAGTACAAACGACTGTTGACACATATGACACACTCTTAATGAGCGAGATTTTTTCTGAATACGCTCTCGTAAATAACACATTAGATTCAACGAAAGATAATTATACGTGCAACATTGAACTGATAGTGATACAACGAACAAGCAAACCACATTTGGTAACCTGCCTCTCGTTACGCGTGCGTTTTTCTTATCTTTTATATCCATCAGAATGTTGTACATTATTTTTATACGTATAAATTATTTCCTTATTGCTGACACCCGTATTATACTTGCAGACACATAGGTGTCCCAAGTCTCGGAATTTTCTTGAATGTACTTTTAATTGGAGAGTTTAATTTATTGTCATTTGTTTATTCAGGCAGGCACCGGTAGTGAGTTTCACTCAAAATCCATTGAAAAGCAATTTGATCATATAATTTAACAACCATGAATTGAGCCTCTCAATTAAGAATCGTTGTGTAAAGCAAAATATCTAAACCAACTCTCACGCCAAGAACATTCAAACGTATAATTTTGTAAATGTAACAAAGAAAGTGCATGTATTAAAAACAAACTGATGTAAACATAATCGACCATGTATTCAAGAGTGTCAATGTAAAAACAGGAATGTAGATATCGATTTATTTGCTTATGTCACATCGTTCGACATTTAAGCAGTAAAGCGGATTACTGAAGCCTAGTACACTGCTTGAAATTCCAACAATACCTATTATCTTTTAGACCGAGGGGAGTAATGTTTTGTAAACGTTCAAGTAGAATTCTTAAATATTTATTGCTTGTTGACAATATGCCTAGTTTGGAAGGAGCGCATACACATTGATCAGTTGGAAAAATATTTGAAGCAGGACTTGGATATGGACATATTTACATTTGCAGGTTATTAGTAATTAATTATATAATCAATTATTATCACTAATATTAATATTACTATTGTTTCTAATTAGTTCAGAGATATCATATGTTCGCAGGATGAGGCTAACTAGCCAAACACTTCTTTATGAGATCAAAGTTAGGGATACACTATTTGGTATGTATAAAAAAACTACTATAAAGTATTGGTCTTAGTGGTCTACAGAAGCGTTGTATATGATAAAACTATAAAAATATTTTCAAAATGAGACTTCAGGTATCCAATTTGATGCAGCGGCTACACCGTAAGACAGTTTGGAAATAAATGGCCTATAACAGTCAAACAGTGGCAATTATACATTTTCAGAAGATATTGAGCGTTTTTGAATAATTTCTGGATGTTAAGCACTACAAATGATTTGGGTGTTGGCTATTGTTTCCTATTTTCTGTCTTGCACGTTTTGGTAAGAGATAACTTTGGAATTTGTCTTAAGCAGTTTTACTATTACAAAAATTACAGGCAGGCCTACACAGTCTAACTTGTCGTCAGATATGTTAAGTTTTATGTAGGGAACCACAAATATAGGTCGATCCACAGTGAATTCTTATCCTTTTCAAATTAAGTCGTTTTGATCATTCTAATATCTTGTATGTTGTTATGAAATAAAGTTTATAGATATGTTAAATGAAGGTATTACCTAGTATTCCAAAACTAAGAAGTAGATATCACAATATAAATAGGAAGTAGCAGATTTGGCTTGAACTATTGAATTATTTGGGCGAGAGGAACATCTGTTTACTTCACTCCTGCAAGGGCATTGAGGAAGTCGTAGAAGATTTATAGTCGAGATCCTCCCTCCGTTTACAGCGAATGGATGTTGTTCCAAATACGAAATTCTCAACAATGTTGCCTACTCTGTTTCTAGTGCAGCGTTGGTTGTGGGGGATGAATACAGGAGACAAACTTTGATAACGTGGCCGCAAAAATAAAAGCCAAGATCTTTTTACGGTTCCTTTCATGCATCTATATTCATAGTCTGGATGTAATGGAAACAATTGACTGCTTCAATGACATACACTTCTGAAAACGCCTTTATTCAATATATGATATATGGAAATCCTAACATAGTACGTGTAATTAGAACCGTCAAAATGGTAGATATGACACAGCATAAAACTTTGCAGCATCTATCTGCTAAAACGTGATTATATAAAAAAATGTTTTAAATTAACCGAAGCCCAAGAATTTATAGCTTGAAAGAGCATAAAAGGTAGTATAGTAGTAGTAGTTTTGACAGTTTACTTTCCCTGTGCTTCATATGACGACCGTCGGCATACTTTGTGCAGTAGTGTGCAAACGATACAGCGAGTGTGTTTAGTAAAACACCACCTTGAGATGGTAAAATCGTCGCCAGTGGGATTCCATTCATTCGGTGGGGTCTACCTATCCAGCTGGTCTACAGCACGAGCTGCTAGCCAACCTCCAAGATCAACTGCTAAAGGCAAAATCAATCCTACCGACGCCACTTATATTTGTACAAGCTGCTTGATGCTGGATCTGGCGCCGTTCAAGTGAAACAGGTGGGGCATCAAGCAGCTTGGAAGAACAACGGGCAGTGGATTGGGTTAGATTGAATTTTCCTCCAAAAGTCTATCCTGAAACTTATCCTGGCCGCCCAATACAGCTATAGATACAGAACTGAATCTTAACTACCTCTTTGGTCATCTTGGCGGCCTCTTCCACAGTATAAGTAAAAAAAGTCCACCGAAGTGGCCGATACGTTACTAAATCTTCAGTTCTAACCGCATTCGTATTCACTGAATTAAATACTGAAATAAAGTCACTACATGTGAGCATAAGTAGAGACTGTTAGTCATTTTACAAAATTTTTCAGACCAACTAAAATAAAGAATTTGAGTAACGATTTGTCTTGCTTATATCTTTTACAGCCAGATTTGAATGTAATCGAAACAACACACTTCTGCCGGACGTTGAAATGTGGAAGAACGTTACTGGAAAATATGTATAAGAAAGTTTCGAGACACATTTATTTCTTATACTGAAGAGATCGCAAAGAGCGTATATATTGAAGATAAGCTGCTGTTCCGATTCTAAAACCACCTAACGTTATTGGAGCTGAAGGGCATTTTTTCTAAAACATCGTTCCACAATTTCGCGCTAGAGCAATAAAAAGACAATTGCCAGAAGTCTGGCGGGTCCACCTGGAGGAGCGGCGTCATCACGGGGACGGGTTCGTAACTATATCTGGCAATGAACTGGCTATAATATGTAGTCTTATATATTTTATACAGAGGAGGCATCAGTACACCTAGACAACTCTAATATCTTTTGGGAACGATTGAGCGTATCAAAACAAGGAGACAATGACTTTGATAGGTTTCCTGTATAAAATAATATATATGTCAAATTTCACAGTTGATGACTTTATTTATCTATCATTAAGTAAAGATCAAAATACTGAAAATTTCATAAGTTCAAATGATGACACTAAAATTCCAACTATTTCTTTGCAAGCAGTGAGAATAAGTTACAGCTCGTTCGATATATCTGTACTGCTGCTCCTAGATTGCGAGTTATATGTTTGTGGAGGATTTGATGAGACAAAAAAATGTTTTAAATTACAAAACTTTTTATTGTTTGAAGTACCTGAGTTAAATTCGAACCATTCAGAAGCCGATCGAAGGATGTACTGTCTCATATTTCACGCAGTAAAAAACCAATTTGCTTATGTCATAATTCTTACCGCTGATACAGATATTTTTATCCAAACCATTTGCACCTATCTTTTCTCAGAAAAGAAATTGACTCCTGCTGAACTTCGGTACAAATAAATTTGTCAAAATATCGCCTTCGGCTTAAATTTAACAAAAGTAGTTTGCACATCAGCTGCTGTTCATTTACATTTGTTAAGAGTTTCACCACAAACCTATATGGATAAATGGTGACCAAACATTACTACAGCCTACTGATTACACCTTATTTGGCTATGAACAAAAAGACGGTAAATTGTATTCACGACAGCTGACGAAGCGACCGTTACCAGAATTATTGATTCAACCCTGCAAATGTACATGTAATCGTCCAACAAAGCCTTGTTCATGCTAAAAATCACAAGTCAATTATTAGTATTAATAATGACTAAAAATAAAAAAGATTGTTTATTTGTATTTTTTTGTTTTGTTTGATGACACGTTAAAACTTTCATTTCCTATTAAATATTTTTTCTATAATAAAATATTTTTATTTTTTTAATTGACTACTTATAAGTATCTTTAATCATGAGGAGCAATTGGATATTGTCACTAAAACAATCAGTGTGGTATAAAAAACCTGGACCAACAAATCTCCTGGCGATATCCAAAATCATAATCTACAACCTTTTCTGAGTTTAAAACTATTCACAGAATCCGGTCCTCATATTTTGCACACTCGACTCCATCCAGCGTCCGGTCTATGTGGTTTCCTTGTCGATAATTCTCCATGTGCTACTGGCAGAATCAAACCACATGTCTTTAAAATTCTTCTTCTTTGTGCAACCTTTTGATACCATCGTCATATAATGAAGACGAGTTTTAAGAACCTATGTGGTTTGATTGTGCTCGTCAAACTCGGGGGATTGAAATAAATGATGGTCACATAATGAGTTTGAAGCACAGTCCGTTACCCTCAGAGAAATATGGAATCAAGTAAGTTGACTTCTCGCATTCACGGATCTCATACCGAGCATCCTTATCATTTTTTGGTCATTGAAATATTTGTATACCTAATTTCTCAGACATCTAGGAACATGAAGGATTGTAAGCTTTTTCGTTTATTGTAATTTCTTGTGATAGGTCAGGTTATTCTAAATTCCTGGGTACACATTCCATTTAGTTAACAAAACAGACTGTAGACTGCGACATAATTTAGATATAGAATTACATAGTTTGACCAGCAATAATCGCGAAGACATGCAAAACTTTATAGGTATTCTTCTTCTCGCCAACGCAATGACTATCAAAGTTCAGTACCATTACGTACTAAGGGTACATAATATACTAGTCTCCCCAACAATGAAATTGGTGAATCCTTACGGTTAAAAGAACACAGAACACATACAGACATTCACTGAAAACCAAATTTGTTAGACGGCCTGAGCTCAATGACTATGAGAGAGAAGCGTCAAAAATGTGTATCAACACATGTTAGAAAGCGTAGGTGGAGCAATCTGCCGCATTGCCAATATGTTACACCAGAAAATGTTTGCACAGGTTTCTACAATAGGTTAGGTTACTGTCAAACCCAATACGGAGGTCTCATCGGACATTTAATTCAATATTTTGTTTTCATTTTGATTAGAATTATTTATTTTGATTTTAATGCTTCTTAGTGCTTTAACTTACTTTGGAATTATCTTTCATTTCCAGCGAGCGTTTGGAAGATGTAACAAATACCACATTACGCAACACACATTGTCAATGCCTGCGTGTACGCAGGTGAAAACCATTTCTAAGCAGGACGACACTCCCCAATGAGTGCTAAATGGCTACTGACCAAAATCGCTAATCTATGAGAATTTGTGGCGATCCTCACCTTACATTTCGACGCGCCGTTTGGACCGATCCGCAATCGATACAATTCGCCATTCAAAAATGTGTACACTCAAAATTGAACCATTGGGCAAAGAAAATTAAGTAACGCATATTTCCAACATGCATCTTAATTAAACAAACTGGTGTAACATATTGATAACGCGGCAGAATGCCGCGTCAGCGTTGCTAGACAACGCGGGGATGAGCTTTGATATCCAGTCGGCTCCTATCTCTTTCTAACATATACACACTTCACTCGTACACACTGAACTGAATCCGTCAGACAAATTTGGTATTCAGTGTAGATCGACAGGTGAACAGACCGACTGCGCAAATGTTGATCAACATAACATCAATTCAGAACGCCATATGATTTGTGTAGTTTAACTAGTACTAATTATATACAGGCAAAATGAGCCATTATAGAGGAGGATAGTCCATTAGAAATGCAGATATCAAATTACTAATTTTATGAATTAGAATAGGCATACGATGTCAGCTTGATCTATAAATCTATAAGTATTCATCAAACCCTTCGATTGAAGGACTTTATCCTTGACGTAAAATTTATCGTAACGACACTGTTTACAGAATGGAGGAAATTAAGGTAATATATTTCTAACCCATTCCCCTATACGTGGAACGCAGGATTTAAAATTTACTACTAATTTCATACTCCCCCCACGTCGCTGCGAAGTTTGAAAGTGATTAACTGGTATCAGGTAAATTAGAACATTATAGATTAAGGCAGCTGCTTTCAGATATAAATGTTACGGTGTGCACTAAATAATCGACTAATTTGTGTATTTGACAGTTTCTTCCTTCCATTTTTCAACTAGGACAGGGTCACTGAAGTGAAAACTAGAATTATTACTAACAGTAAGCTCTCAATATGTGTTTTGATGTATCATCTATCCGTAAATGAGTTAAGTTCCGTCATAAGATTCCCCTGTAATGTAAACGCCGCCGATCACAAAGGTACTGTATGGATTTTACGAAAAACTCCAGACTAGAGTTGATGAAACTGACATTCACATATACTATGCGTTGGCTTGTATGATTACTTTTATGAACGCGACTTCCGTGTTTCATAACAGCATGAAAATTATATAGCCCAACTATGCTACCCATTTTTTTTTTCAGAGACAATCAATAGTATTATGTTTGAAGTTTCGTTTCATAGTGCTCCTTGTAGCCATATACAGTGTGTCCCAGATTCGCTTCTCTATACACGGATCTGGGCTCCTGTCATACCTACAGCAAAGGTTAAATATGAGCGGTTTTGAAGGAAACTAAGTGCTTTCTTATTCTCTGTACTGTTGATCTTTACACACCAATTTCTCGTTCTATGGTTCTTGCTTATTAAATTTACTATTATTTTTCTAAATTGGGTTTCATGAAGCTGCCGTTGTTCGGGGTACATCTCGAAGTACCTTGCTGAGGTAATGTCGGTGTTTCTGTGTGACTGCAAGTACAGCGCTAACACATGTCAAGCTTTTCTTCATTTGAGTTGGTAATACCGTCCATTTTCAAGAGGTTTAGACATTTTTTTTTGTTGGATTTATGACTTTAATGAGAGAAAACGCACTTACTACTTATAAAAACACAATTTTGATACTTTGAATTATTTTTAAACGTCAGAGTCAGAGCGTCCTTAGATAAATAAAATGTGTTAGTTATTAATTTTATTTCCTGACAAATAAATCATGACCTCCTCACACAAAAATTAATACATAACATTACGTGTGATGATATTTCGATGACACTCCAACCTTTTACGCACTTGTGAGATATCACTAGGCGGGAAATTTTCCGCTTTTTTCAAAAATCGAAAAGTCCGATATGGCGGCCATAAAAAAAATTAAAGTTGAGGCAGTTTGCTAAAAAACAAAAGACGACTCAGACATGTCATACACGCTATCTTATTTGCCTTAAAAAACGTCCGAATACTGTCACATTTTGACAGCTGTCAGACTAAACGTTTCGGATTTACTGCCAAACAAACAAAATTCGACATTTTCGGTTTTTCGCCCATGTTTCCAAAACCAATTGACCGATCGTAAATCTGAAGCCAGCTATCGAAAGCAGTAAGTTTCCTCTTAAACTGTCCCCATTTATCCTTTTCTGTAGATATAACCGGAGCGGAGATCCCGGTATAGAAAGGCGAATCTGGGACATACGAGTACGAACAAACCATTAACCTCAGACTAAAAATATAAATAGACAAATAATTCCCTACAAAATATCGTCGTCAACATAAGTGTATTTACGGTAAACAAATATATGCGACGCTGCCACTTCTCCATACTGAAAAATCTATTGAAAATGGAATGAGATATTGGTGTGCACTCCGCCCGAAATGAAGGTGGACTTAAATAAGGTGTGGACGCTCCGGTCGATTGTGGGTCGATCAAACAACTGCTCCTAGGCAGTTGTCAACGTCACTTTAAATTTTAAAAATTTATTTTTTCTTTTCGTATTTGTTTATACTCGCAAAAACGGTCACAGAGGTGGCCGTCACGCCGTAAATTCAATTCAAAACGGATGCAGGTTCATGTTGGGTAATTCATAGCGAACATTACATATAATATTTTGCCCAGTCAGTTGTTTGACTGGATTTGTTCCACCTTGGACGAAACTTGCTCTCATTCGAAAGTATCACATTTCTACTGACTTTTTGCCGAACGTGGCAACGGTGTTCAACGGCAAGTGGTGGATGTGTACACAGAATTTACAAACATCTGGTGTTTGTTGTTGTGCACAGTGAATTTATTGCGAGTATTCAAAAATGTTTTCAGGTTGTTTTAGCGGCAATTATAGCATTGTTATCATTGATAGACAAGTTTCAAAGACAATGGGACGTCGGAAGTGCATTCTTTGTGGAGTTAGCAGTGAAAAAACTGAGGCAACCTTCCACAGGTGAGTTAGAGGCTAGAGGATGACAAGGGCGTAGCGCATGGGGATGCGTTGTGATTTTTATAGTTATTGGTTGTTTTTACACTGTATGTGTGGTGATTTTCAAAAAATACTCTTCTGTTAGACACGTTTTTGATTTTTCAGGTTTCCTAGTGATAAGAAAAAACAAGAAGAATCTCCAATGGGTGAATGAAAAGATGAAAGTTAAACTTGCCGTCCAGACTTTGAGCAAGAGTGTTGCAGAAGCATTGGACTTTTTGAACAAAGATCTGGCTATGGCTGACTTCAAGGATTCAGAAGCTACAGCATATTTTTGTAGAACAGTAACCAATTTATTTGATGTTTTTAATTCAAGGAATAGGATGTCAAAAAAACCTTATGAGAAACCGTTGTCACCTGCTACTGAACAATATTTCAATTTCTTAGAAGAAGCGAAGGATTATTTGAAATCGTTAAAATTAGGAGACACTAGAGTTATACTTTCTAGAAGAAAATTAGGATTTTTGGGATTCATAATTTCAATAAACAGCCTGTATGAATATAGAGTCAAAGAAACCAAAGAGCTGAAGTACCTTCTCACATATAAGTTATCTCAAGATCATTTGGAAATTTTTTTCAGTTGTATAAGAAGCAAAGGAGGATACAGCAATAATCCTACCTCGAAGCAGTTTTAGAATATTTTAAAAAAATTATTACTTCATACTGAAATAAGTGGCAATGAAGCATCCAATGTCGTGAGATAGCACATCCATTTTGCACTGTTCATCATCATCATCTTTAGAGATCAAAATTAGTGAGGATATGACCTCATCATCAAACAGTATAGAGGAAGATGAAGATTTTATACAATTTAAAAACTTTCTTCGAATAAGTCCTTGGTAGCTTCAACTGTATTTGGAAGATGTTGTTGCATATGTTGCAGGTTTTGTTGTGAAGTGGCTAAAAAAGTCTATAAAATGCCAGAGTTGTTTAGATTTGTTAGAAACTTCAGGAGAGTCTATATCGAAATTACAAATAAGAAAAACGTATGGAAAATTAGTTAAAGCCTCCGCTTTTGTAATAAATGTGTGTAAATATGAAGAACATTGCTTTAGGTTATATAAGGAAAGGTTAGAAGTTGGCAAAAAAAAATATGACAAGAGTTTCACAAATATTAACAAATTATACATTGCAAAATTTACCTCTTGGATTCGGAAATGTGTTTAAGGACCATGTATTCGAAGATGAACCTTTAAGTAATCATTTTCCATTGCTCTGTAAACAAGTTTTAGAACAATATTTTACCATTAAGTTGTACCATTATACCTCTAACTTGAATGCCCCTTCAAAACGTGTACGATCATTACTCACAAAAAGTATATTATTTCAAAATCAATAAAACTTGATAATTACAAAAAAATAAAAAGCAAAATTATAAAATGAATTATAAATAATGACTTAGGGAGAGTGACAAGTCCAAGGGAATTGTTTTACTGAAATATGCACTAAATCTCCAAACATGGATTGACTACTATAAAATAATGTATAAACCTACCCCCAATGTTGAATTTAGCTTTTTAGATGTTTTACATCCATATCTGGATCAGCATATATCAAAACAAGAACTTTTTGACGCGCTAAATGGCTAAAATGGCTATCAGAGTCTAAATCCCCAAGTATACCGTTATGTATAAAACGATTTATAATCCAACTTAAGCTCCACAATAAATGTAGTCTCAAAATCTTCCTAAACAATATTTCATACAGGGTTGACCAAACTGACTATTGTACAATATGTAATACTCGAAAGACCGAATCTTTAGGACATCTCCTCCTGGAATGTCCATTATATACGTACAATCCATTGAGAGAGCATATTCTGTCAGATCGTTTGAACTAAATCTGTGTCTTTGCTTGCCTAAATAAAACGAATGAGTTGAATTTATGATACAAACTTTTTAAATACTTTAGGGAATTATTTAAGGTAAGATCTTTCTTAAGGAATGAATAGTTTTTTGTGCCTTCAATATCAAGACAGAATATTTAAATTGATGCGTCAATTATTTATTCTTTTTCTGTTTGTTTATATATTTTTTTATATACAACTTTTGATCATGGTTACTATCATTTTCTTACTATTTTTTTTGTATTCATACTCTAGACAGGAAAGTTTCTACTCAATTCTTATTATTTACATAATACTCTCTCTCTTGTTTATATACCTTTGTACTAGGTATTATGAAACAATAAACCTGATAATTAAGTTCCAATAATAAAACCTTGTTTACTTCTCTGTGTTTATTCTTTTCACTGCCATGGAAGGTGATACTGGGTGTATTAACCATTACAAAAAATGTATTAACCATTACAAAAAAAGCACCTACGCCACTGGTGGAATCAGCTCTGGTCTGCACATACACAGCTTATTGTTTGTATTTGTTTTGAATTGGGTTTGCTTGTCTTCATGCATTACAGTACCGTAAGAATGGTAAGTCTATTTATATTTTTAGTCTGAGCCATTAACATTGATTAACGTATTTTACCAGAAGAAAGCCACCCCTATATTCCTGCGTCAGAAAAATTATATACTTTGCACATGTTAGTAACTCATAGATGACGCTACATACGTACTCGTATATGCTCATATAATTGGCTACAGAGTCGACTATGAGACAATAACTTTTTCAAGGTATATACAGTATATAGAGAAATAGCTGCGACAAATTCTCATACATGACGCTACGGTATCTCATTTTATCTTAAATAATCTTTTTGAACGTGGGATTATGGCTACCTTCAGGTAGAATACGTTAAGTAATAGTATACTAAGTGACATATAAATCCGAACACCCAGTTTAAATGGTTTTATTTTAATAAAATTTTGTATAAGTACTTAATGAAGCATAATAAGTAAATGATAAAAATTTCAAAATGATTGCACTGCTTTAAAGCCCTTTGACCCTTAATAATGTGTGGATGCACCCTGATGTGCTACGCATTCTCCAACGCGCCTAGGCATGCTTCTGATCAGGTGGTCAATGTCCTCCTGTGGTATCTCATTCCAGGCAACCACCAACTCCTCTCGAAGTACTTCTAGAGTCTGAGGAGGGCGTTGCAAATTGAGCAATCTCCTAACCATTATATCCCACACGTGCTCAATTGGGGATAAGTCGGGAGATCTTGGTGGCCATGGTAACAATGTGACATCATTATGTTGAAAGAAGTCTATTGTGACTCTTGCAACATGTGGTCGGGCATTATCTTGTTGGAAAGTTGGATCTGCCAGGGTGTCAAGATAAGGTAAAAGATGGGGTTCTAGAACTTCGTGGATATAACGCTGCGCGTTCATGTTACCTCTGATGAAGATTAAAGGTGACCTGGAACCATAAGCTATAGCACCCCAAACCATAACTCCAACAGTGTGATGAACATGTCTTTCAACAAAAAACTGTGGATTCCTCCTTTCACCACGTCGCCTTCTAACCCTGGCACGACCATCGTGCATGCTTAAACAAAATCGAGACTCGTCACTAAAGACAATACTGTTCCATTCCTGATCTCAGAGTGACCGTTGTCTGCACCACTCAAGGCGATTACGTCGGTGTTCTCGAGTTAAAGGGAGGACCCAGTGTGGCCGGTATGAAAACAAGCCAAAATTTCTCATCCGTCGGTAAACAATTCGCATGCCAATAGGTCTTCCGTGTTCTGCAAACCATTCATTTGCAATGGACCTTGTAGTGGAGAAACGGTCCCTTAAGGCCAATAATCTTAGGCGGCGATCTTCACGGTCTGTTGTTCTACGGCGGCGTCCAGTGCCCCCTGCTCTTTGCGTACGGCCTTCTCGAAGCCATGCCTGACAACACCTAACCACAGTGTCTACACTTCTTTGCACTCTAACTGCAATTCCCGAAAAGAAAGTCCAGCTTCCCAAAGTCCCACTATACGGCCCCTATCAAACTCACTAAGTTGACGAAATCGTACAGGTCTCCGTACTCTAGGCATCGTAACCGATCGTAAAGGATGTCAAGAACCAAAATCCGCCAACGTTGATTCTTTACTGCGGCTGAAATATTCATTTTTAGAGCGTTAGTGAATTAAAAAAAAAGCAGTATAAAAACCGGAATGTCCAACTAATAGGGCTGAAAATTTTTTCACTTGTTATTTACAATAAGATAAATACATTCACCAACTTTTATTAAAATAAAACCATTTAAACTGGGTGTTCGGATTTATATGTCACTTAGTATATTATTTAACAGTTCCTCAACTCTTGACTTTCCGTGTCCAGTTTTTTTGGTTGTTTCTAAGTTGTTTTATATAATCATTAGTGTTGGTGAGCCTACACTTAAGTAGCTCTAAACATCTCGCAGTATGAAGCGAAGCAACGGCGTATTTGGGGCTGATCACCGCCTCCGCCTCCCCTCTAGAGCTCTACAACCGGATACGTTTTTCTTACATAATACAGCAATAGTATCTTTTTTAATATATCTACATCTGTCTGTTACAAGTCATTTAAAAAATGTTTGAATCTGGAACTAATGAAATCTCAGTCGTATTGAATATCTGAATGAAATGTTTTGTTCATTCGTTGATCGAGGTCTAGTACGCTATGTTTCCACGAAGGAGAGTTCTAAATGACACGACTCTTAGTAACTGAAATGCAAAATCTCTCATCATCAAATGAAAGTAGAATTATCGGCATTATTGATGTCAAATACTTCATGAACTGTGACCCACTAACGTCTGTCGAACTTCGTTTCAAGGACAAATACATGGGGAAATCTATGATGAGTGAAACCTGCAACGAAAGGTGTGTAGAAATACTGGGGTAGAAGCTTATTGCTGCCAAAAGGCTCAGATATCCTCCTCTGCCCTCTGGAACCCCAAACTCCCAGTCTTAAAACTCCTACAAATGTTTTTCTGAAAATGATCGTGAGCCTCTGAAATGTCAAAAAAAGAAGTTGGCGAGATTTATATTTTTTTCTCGATGCTGCGCCAACATTTGGATGATTTTCAGAAACTAA